CGATGAACAACATATTTTATTGCCTGAGCAAACCAAATAGAAATAATAAAAGAGGTGAATTAAGGTGCATATGTAGAGATGTCTTTATTCTACATACGTTTGTTCCAAGTTCCTATGAAACCTTTTCAGAAACTTACATTTTTTACATTGTTGTTTTTGGTAAAATTATTATAGTATTTTCTTGAGTATAATAAAACTTCAGTATGATACGACTCGGTGTTTCTGAAGCTTAAAACATGAAATAAATTCCATCGTTGACTGTAATACGACCCTGTAGTGCAGCCATGTCTAGTTTAGTTTTTCTTTGAAAACCATATTATCCGTTAAAATCTCAATGTCCTACATATATTTCCCTCAAAATTTAATTTTTTCCCGGCATTAAAGACTAGAAATGAACCGGATGTTTATCCATTGAGTGTTTCTTCTAATTTCCGCTTCAAAATTTATTTTCGTTGAAAGGTGCTAACTAGACATACCCGGGAATATATCTTAAGGTAGGTACCTCCACGAGATCGCTAAAAAAAGAGCATAGCATGATGAAAAAGACGCCAAACTTGACGAAAACAAAATTTTATCGTCTAAATGTTTGTTATTCATTAAGAGGAAAGGTCAAAGTATTTTTGGGGTATTTTTTTCCTTTTTTTAATCGTTCCTAGCACGTCCGAAATTTTCGTTAAAAATCTAGTTTTTTTTGAGTCAGAAAAATTGACCATTTTTTTCCATTTTAAAAAAAAACTGGAAATCTGACTTTGAAATTTTTTTAAATATCAATTATCATTTTTTCAAAACTTATTTTAAGAAAATCAGAAATTATAATGTTTATTTAAAATATTTTGAACCAAACTTAACTTAGCTTTTGTGCCAAAAAGATGTAATTTGAAAATAAAACAAAGCAGGTCATAAACTTTCGCGTCTCTTGACATGTGATGAATGATATATTTACGAATTCCATGAGGCTAATTTGTTCTACGGAAGGAGAAAAGTGAAATAATTTACATTTACGTGAACAAATTATTTACCCCGTTATTTTTAACGAAAACTTTCAGCGGTCTAATTTTTTTTTTTTTTTTTTTTTTGTACTTAGCTTTCACCTTTACGTTTATGATGCTTTATGGGAAATATATTCTAAAGAAATTAAAATAAAACTGTTAAGAGGACATTAAATTTCATATTTCTTAAGAAAGGTATCTAATTAATTTATAGGTACCTTTCTTATGAGAATTGTACATAAAATACTATAATTTTATGTACATTTATTACATTCTACTGTTATTTGTATTTGCATTCATTTTATTATTAATTTTGATATTTCATTTATGGAAAAATGTCGTAACTGAGATTAATATAAAAATAAGATCATATAAATTTCATAAGATGATACTGATACTTGTAGGTAACCTTCTCAGTTGAAATTGAAAAATCAAATTAACTTCTCCACACGTGTTTCGCAAAAGTAAAGGCCTTAACAGCGGAGAACAATGCTTAACTCAAATAACGCAACTTAATTATATTCTGGTTGGTCTTCCGTATTTTATAATTACAGCTCGATTATAAGCACAAAATTACATTTCTTAATTACTGGGGATCTTCTGATTAGTCAAAATGATACAATTTACAACGCGCTAAAAAAAGATCTATCTCATAAGGACACTTATGAAAGCCTGTGCGGCTTTTAACTAATTTTATAATATTTTAACAACTTAAATGTAAAATCTATTATAATTAATGAAATAACAAATAATTGTATTAAAAATTCATTTTTCATCGAAAAATTTTTTTTTGCTTTCAGAAAATATTGTCCATATTCATAAAAACAACTAAAAGCAAATAAAAGCATTTGAAATTAAATAATATATTTGTTTTATTGAGTTTTGTATGTTACAATTCAGAGCTGATTTTCAGGTACTGGGTATCCAATTAAAAAACAAAATAAAACATGATTTGCATTCCTCAAAGCCCTGTGCTTTTAATTATTGTAATCACTAAAACCGATGCGATCGAATTTCTAGCGTTTTCATAAAATTAGTTATGGGGGGTAATAAATATTTAAAAAAATATTTCTACCATGACTTTCATAAAAAAAAAAACATATTTATAATAATTTCGATCATCTGTGAATAGTTCCTGAAAGTTTCATTAACATCCGATAATTATTTCTATTTTTGCACGATTTTTCAAATTAATGTATGTCATACCAAAAAAACGTGCTAAAAATTGTCTGTTATTTACTAGTTCCGCTGATACAAATAGAAACAAGGTTTTTTAATCAAAATTTAGAATTTTCTAAAAGAAGGAAAATTTTTTAAAAATAATTAAAAAAACTTTGGTCTTTCCTCTAAATAATAACATAAGCATTTAGACAATAAAATTTTGTTTTCGGCAAGGTTGGCGTCTTTTTCATCAAGCTATGCTCTTTTTTTTAGCGATTTCGTGGAGGTACCTATCTTAAGGTATTAATTAATCTATTGTACTTTTCTCTTTGATATGACTTTATTATATTTCTATATATTAATAAACTATGAAAAATAAAAAAAAAATTGTCATTCATTAAGAATGAAGAGAGAAAAGAAAATCAAAATATAAACAAACTTTTATGTTATGAGCAAAACTGAGACATCAACCGTTCACTTACGCTCATTCCCGATGAACAAATATGGCCGACATACCTTTTGACAAAAATTCTTATCGACAACTGCCTACTTCGTGTTTTTTATTGTGCTGAATGAATTTTTAATTTTGATGTTTCAAATATAGGTATTATTTTTAATCTGAATAAAAATTTCTGAAAACCTGTACTTATGTATAATTTAATTTTCGTTTAAAATTTCACGTATTATCGTTAATATTATGGCCAATAAAATCGAGAACCACAAAATCTAAACAAACTTTATCTTGTGAGAAAAACTGCTCTAATTTTAAACATTTCGCTGATTCCAAAAAATATTGCCAATAACATTAAACACTTCTTGTAAAGAATTGTTATCAACATCTACAGTTTCTTTTCTCCTCTCAATACAATTTCAACCGCCTATCTTATTTTCGGGGAAAGGTGCTAACTAGATATATCCGGTAATAAATCTTCAGGTGTTAATTAATAAATCCTACTTTTCTGCTTGATATGACTTCATTACATTTCTATATATTAAACTATGAAAATAAAAAAAAAAAAAATGTCTGTCATTAAGAATGAAGAGAGAAAAGAAAATGAAAATATAAACAAATTTTTTTGTGAACAAAACTGAGATATCAACTTTTTCACTTACGCTAATTCCCGAATAACAAATATGGCCGACATCTCAAATACCTTTTGACAAAAATTATCAACACCTGCCTAGTTCGTGTTTTTTTTTTATTGTGCTGAATGAATTTTTAATTTTGACGTTTCAAATGGGTAAAAATTTCTGAAAATATGTACTTCTATATTATACGACCCCTCTTTTTTACCTTTTTTTTTTTTTTTTCAAAGTTTCACGTATTTTAATCTTCATAATGTGTTTTATTCAAATGAGATATGAAGTTTTTTTTTTGTTTTTTTTTTTGTCATCCAGAATGGAACGAGGCCCGTCTTATCTCTAAGGCATCTTGTGGGTAAAAATACAAGAGGCATTTTGTGGTTTCTTTTGTATATTGCTTTGGCAACACCATCTAGCAGAAGTCCCTTGGTAGACAAGTGGGATAATCTTACAAATTTAACAAGAATGCTAAAAGAATGCTTATGGTTAGCACAGAGTTTGTAGAAAAAAGAAACAATCTGAATATCTTTAAAATTTTAGAATAGATTACTTAATGTTTAATATGACTCGGTCTCGCCGAAAGTTAAAATTTCTTCCTAAAATATTTCAATTCCCCACTCCCCCTCATCAAAATAAAAAAAAAAATTCATACGTTCGAAATAATTGCAGTAGGTTATAAAAATTATCCCATGGATTTTCTTTCAGTTCGTGTCACATCATTTTACAAATTCCTACGTCAGTTAATTCGCAAAAGAAATAATTATTGAAACAAAGTTCCATTTTTCCAAAGATTATTTTATTCACACTATTTACATTCATCGAGCTGTTCTCATCTTTATTGCCATCACGACGTTTCGACCGTTGTACGCTCGGCGTTCTTCAGGTGATATTAGTTGGAATTCCGAACCGAGACCTTTATTTAATCTTCGGCTGTAAATTGTTCTAATTCCAAGGACACGTGGCCCCACATATAAGATAGTTGGTTGAGGGATCCTAAAAATGACATGACCCAAAGAGTTGAGTTGAATACCTGGCGTGGGGGTGGGGGGGCAAATCACAAGAGAGAAGAAAAAAATGAGATGAGTTGCCAAGGGGAAGGAACTGAAACTGAGATATCCATAGACATGGTACATGGAATTAGGATACTCTACCTCCGTCGACTAAAAGGTTTCGGTTCGAAATTCCAACGTATATCACCTGAAGAAGACCGGAGTGTATAACGGTCGAAACTTCTTGAATTTGTTAATAAAGATGAGGACAACAGTCCGACCAATGTAAATAGTGTACATAGTTAAAATACTTCATCTAAAAAAATACAGAAAGATTTTATCCAATTCCAAGAATGTTTAAACTAAAGTACAAACGTAAAATGTAATGTATTAGAGATCTGTCATAAACCTTTGGGATTTTATGCTGTTAAGATATTCACTATTTTTCCGGAATTAGAATTTTTCGATTACGTTTTGTGTCGATTGGTTAATGTTTTTATGTTTTCGCCTTTTCGATGGATTACGGCCATATCACGTTGAAAAACCGGTTTCCGTGCAATCACCGAAGCAAACATAACTAAGAGTTATAAAGGACAGGAAGTTGTGGAGAGCTATGGACCCGTCATATAAAGGAGAGCGTTCTGCATATATTTCGATGATCAGTTTTTGGACGCTGACGGTCGGGCTTTCCACTATCTTGTTTTAACAACAGAAGTATTAATAAACAAAGTTTCGTTAGCAGTGAATGCTAAACACTCTCATCAGAAATAAAGAAAGCTTACGGCCATATCATGTTGAAATTCCGGTTCCCGTACGATCACCGAAGTTAAGCAACGTTGAGTATGGCTTGTATCTAGATGGGTGACCGCTTGAGAATACAAGGTGCTGTAAGGCTGGATGTACAGGTAGTGTAATGGATAATTGCCCTGAATTGTTAATCAGAGAGCAGAGTTCCAATTCTCGTTGGGTTCGTTATAGTCACTGACGCGTAAATAACCTTGAAGGATACCAATCCTCTCTCTCTCTCTCAATTTATTCAGGAAGAAAAACCATTGAAAAGGTAACTGACTGACTTGATTCGTTTTTTATGGCTTATCAACAGGAAATATTTTTACATTGTAAGATGTTTGGGAGATAAGCTTGTATCGCTAAATCCTTATCTCCAAAACAATTATTACAATGTAAAAATATTTCTCGAGTTTAAATAACCTGCAAAGGGTTGATAAGCCATAAAAAACGAATCCATCAGTTAGTCACTATTCAATGGATTTCCTTCTTGAATAAATTCTAATTTCAAAGATCTGTTGGGGATATTGTTGAAGTGTGGTTATGTGTTAAGTTTGGCCTTACAGGCACGATTTTCAAGTATAATTATATATATATATATCCCCGCTTAAGTTAAGAAAAGAGGTAAAGATTTGTTTTAAATTTCCCTAATAAATCATTTTCATCACAAGTTATCTACCATCGCCTGAAGTACCATCTTAGTACTGAAACATGAAAGTTTTTTTTTTTTCTGGAGCGATGTAAAATGTTTTTATTGTAGTTTATAATAAAAACAGTATATCCATCAGAATTGTTTGTGTACGCACAATGTAGTTTTCTGTCATTTGTAGCATTCCCGCCTTTTTCTGAGATGTCGAGCTTGCTGACTGCCATATTGATCCTGCAAATATTGTTCAAAGCAGCAAAACGTAATTTGTTTTTTGCCTTCCAGTAAAATGACTGATGCTAACCTCCAGGGAAGGGACTCGTTTCTCTTTCTCAGGCTAACGGGGGAAAGATTATAACAGAGACTAGTTCACCGATTCTCTCAAACATGACTCTATATGATTCCCCAGCGAGCATTGTGGCTGTGTCTTTACCATTTTTGTAGGGATTATTAGCGAGAAACTGAATTAAAAAAATCCAAAACGGTGAATGAAGTTATGTGCTTAGAGACGCTGTTTTTAAGACGTACGTGTGTACAAAGTTCATATGAAACCTTAGAAGAGACTTAGATTTTGAGAAAAGTTCTTTGTCGGTTTTTTTAGAATAATTAGATATTCCTAGATGTAGACTAGTAAGTATAGGGCATTTGATGTGTACCTTCTGTGTTGTTTTCAGTCTGACAAATTCGCTGGGGACCAAAAATCCCCCCTAAGGTACGTTTAGAAAATCATCATAGCAGTTTAATTTACTCTTTGTAATGAATGAATGGGTTGGGAATCTGATTAGCTAAGGTTTATAATAGTGAAGACCCCACACCTTCAGCCTGTTGGCAAAAATTAATGTATTAAAGAAATAATAATTTAATTTACTCGTGTCATCAAACATGGCTGCATTTACTAATTATTATTGTTGTACTTGAGTCTTTCACAAAGTCGGTTAGTCCCCCTCTCTGGCTTTGTAGACTTTTTTTTTTTTTTTTTTTGTTGCTTTGAGGTCGTCAATGCAAAGGAGATGCATCGAATCCAGACAAAATTTATACAGGGTGGCTGCCACTGAAAGACAAACACATGAGTATATTGGGATGGTAAAGTTTGGAACATTTGAATCGTGTATGGAAACATTTTAAATCCAATTTCAGAATCTTTTTAAACGATGTTCTGGCGACGCCTATTTGGGCAGAGCGACAGCGGGTAGAAGGTGATGGATCCTCAGGGACATTCTGATGTACAGCTTCCACCGCTGCGTTAATGTGCACAGTGCGCTTAGGACCTCTTCCCGGAAGATCCCCGACTGATCCAGTTCTTTCAAACCAGACGATTAGGTTCCAAATCATGTTATCGCTAGGAGATACTCAGATATTAAAATGTTGTCGGTATTTTCTCTGAATTTGAAGAATTTACCTTTCATTGGAATCGAAAAACTCAATGAGTTTTACTTGTTGCTGGACATCATATGCAGCCATTTTAATTCTCCCAGGGAGGATGCTTAAAAGATAGACATATAAACATCGACACGAGAGGGAAGACAATTTGATATATCCCTGCGATCATATCGGCTCCACGTCCGGAGACGGCTCCAAAGCTACACACTTTCGGACAGATGGTGAGTGACGAACGAGAGATTCCATCTCGTCTTTTCAATGGGAATATATGACGATAATGCTAAAGAAAAGAATCTGTTAGCATTTTCTTTTTCCTTGTGCAGATTTAAGAAAAGCCAAGAGGGTGGCAGACAAAAAGAAAATACAGATTTCAAAAAGATATATATATATATATATATATATATATATATAAATCAAGATTGAAAGTTTTTCAGTACCCACTCGGAAGATATTGCAGACACAAATAGTTTTGTTATATTGTCTAGAAACACACTTGCAGCAAATTGTCCTGGCATCGTTAAACTTAATATTTTTTTCTTTTATATTTCAACGTGATTTGTTTTCACGAGATACTGTAAATGTTAAGTAAACTGAGATGTGAAAAGCAAAGTTTTGGTAACTTTTTCTCGGTCGGGGGATTATCTCCCGCCTATTTTATATCTTCTAGTCGACATCCTGACATGCCCATTTTCGTCCAAGAAGTTTACCTAAGATAGACACCCGCAGCCAGCAATTAATTTGTAGGTTTATATATTAGTTGGCAAAATGAACGTTGCTTGAGTTGTGTTCGCACGCAAAAGAAAAATGTAGGATATACATTTATAAATGTTCCCATACGGACATAGGTATTGACTTTAATTAATGTAAGCTTTTAAATGTTATCAAAATATTGCTGCTGTCATAAACCTTACTGACCTCATCTTCCCGCCCCCCCGCGACTTTCGCTCTTGATTATTACCCGTGAGACATTTCAAAATTTCCTCTTTTGATGCACCATACTGCTAACGTGTTTTCCTTCGCTCCCTTGGTTTTCATTCATCTCTGCCCAAATAGTGCTCTCTTATCACCCCCACCAATCGTTATATTTTTTAAAGTATTTCACCTCGCCCCGTGCAAGGCGATAAAGCCACTAAGACGAAATTAATGAGTTAATGGTTAATGAGTGTGAAAAATATTAAAGAAAGGAAAAACAGAAAATTAAGAAGGCTGAAGGCAATGACTGACATTGCATTTAATTTTTGAAGATCAAAACTGAGTTGAAAACAAGAATTCAGAAGAAGCAAATGCGAAGCGTGAGAGAAGAACCTTTTAACATAGAACTTCCGGTTATATCTAGCAATTTTAATTGTAAAATAATAAGACCTTACCGCCAACTGCGCTTAAATTCATAAACTTTCTTCTATGTATCTAAATTTTATCAGGACAATTTCCATGAAAATATTCATAGAAAAGTCACAGGGAAGTTACGTTACGGAGGTGGGTGACTGAAGCTGAGTTGCCATATCAGAACTGATGACATCACAGATTCTTATTTAGAGTTTATCACGAATCTCTAAATATATAGCAGAAGCACCAAACCAGATGTGATATCAATATTCCATTCATGAACGAATAGACGACTTATAAATGTGTAAGATAGACTTTTTTTTCTCGCCATAATCTATCACGACACGTTGAATCATTTTAGCTAGCAGCAGATCTAGCAATTGATTCAATACAATCGTTCCATTTTTGTCAGCGAAAAGCGTTAGTAAGAGAAGGTCACTCTCCTGGAGGTTAGCATTAGCCATGCTGATGGAAGGTTTAAAACCTTTGAGCCCTGACCACCGCTTTACCGGAGGTAGAGAAAAATGACTTAATGCACAGCCACTGGTTGAATGGTGGGTAAACACTTGTAACTATTTTTATATCTACCGTGAAATCTTACATACCAATTATTTGCGAATTTTGACTCCAGAGCTCAGGCACAAGGGTTAAAAATGTTCAGGAACGCAGGGTTCAAAGGGTTAAAGAGAAGTTTAATTTTGTCGATGTTAAACTTAACAAGGCGTTTCTTGTCTCATTTAAAAGTCTGTAGGCCTTTTTTTTTTTCTTTTTTTTTTTATATATAGATCAGCTGTCATCCCTTGTCTTAAATTTGCACAAGGAAAAAAATCGAACCGATTTCTTTCTTTCTTTAACATTATCGTCATATATTCCCATTGAAAAGACGATATGGAATCTCTCGTTCGTCACTCACCATCTGTCCGAGAGTTTGTGGCTTTCGAGCCGTATCCGGACGTGGAGACGACATGATCGCAGGGATACATCAAATTGTCTTCCCTCTCGTGTTGGTGTTTATGTCTGTCTTTTAAAATAAATTATTAATTTTACACTTGTATTTCTTACATCTTGTTTGTTTTTTCTTAAACATATCTCGTCAACTAGGGCCGATGCAAGGGTCGCATGCCCCTCACCTCGACTGCATCTCAATTTTCATAAGGTATTATTCATATAAGATACAAACTAATTGTAAACTAATTATACACAGTAATGGATCCTATGCAATATAGGCGAACAATTCAACAAGAAAAACTGAAAATACATATAATGTATCTAAATACAAATTAGACATGACTTAGTAGATCATTTTAACTTGCGGGCATTTTTTAACATCTTATTGAGAAGATTAATAATTTTAACACATTCAACACTATGGTCAAAAATAGTTTATATAGCTTTTTTCCCCTTTTTTTATAGACTTAGCATGAGCAAAAAAAAAAAAAACTAATTCACTGATTTGGGCGAGGAAAGACCCTGAATGATGTCAAAAATCCAAAAATGTGTCATCCTTTAATAGTCAGTTTTACTTACCTTAATTTGTAACGTATATAAAGGTAGGTAGAGAAAAGCAAATGTTAAGTTAGTTACAAAGCACTACCCAGAGCCCCCAATCAGACTACCTCAACCCGGCCGTCATTCTTATCTTATTCTTTATTCTGCTGCTTACTGGAGATCGTAAAATGACGAAATAAAAAGCAACAAAATTTAGATGAATGACCCACAATTCTAAAATTCCAAATTTTTTCACAAAAAAATTG